ACACACACACACACACACACACGGAGGGAGGGAGGGAGGGAGGGAGGGAGAGAGGGAAAGGACAACTTTCATGTCTTAAATAGTTTTCTTTATTTCTTTCCACTGTTTGTGTTTTATTCAGATCCTCTTTAAAGTTCTTTTTTTTCAAAGTTCTTGATTATATCCATAATAGCTATTTTGATGTGTGCTTCATGCCTCAGCTGTATTTATTTCTTAGGGCCTACTGTAGTGGGGTTACTGGGGTCTAGTGGAGATGTATTGTCCTGGATGTTATTTATTGTTTTTTACTGGCATCTAGGCGTCTGGGTTTGGAATGATTGTTAATTCCAGGTGTTGATTTCTGGTCTTGTTTCTGGTGTCCTCTCTGGATCTTAGGAGTATGTGGTAACTGTGGGTTTCCTGGTAGGGAGTGCTTCTGAGTCCCTGCTAGGTGTGACCACTAGGGATCTTGGGTAGAACTTGTTGCTAGGTATTGGGAACTCACAAGCAGCAATGGGGATGGGCTAGAAGGCAGGGCTTGAAGGAGAGAGTCCACAGGAAGGAGAAAAGCCAGGTCTGCCATGAGGATCTGGTTCTGTATTCATGGGCTTCCTCCTGTTCTCTTTTGATTCTATTCTTGGGTCTATTGCCTCTGAGATGGTGCTGACCATAATGTTCACAGTGGATATTTTCACTTCCTCAGTCCTGTTGAGGTGTGGTCTGTTGCTCTGTATTATAATGCTAAATACTGGCCTCCAAGGCCTGGTTGGCCTCCTGGATGAGAGAATCTGCAAGTATACAAATGATGCTTTGCAATCTTTCCTATCCCCTCTTCTCCCACCCTACCCCCCCCATCTGCTCCCCAGGTTATCCCTGATTGGTGAATAAAGATGCCAACAGCCTAGAGCAGAACAGAAGAGAGATGGGCAGGGTTTAGGTTTCCCTGGGCTTGGGGTCTAGAAAGAGACTATGAGGAAGAGGAGGAGGAGGAGGAAGAGGAAGAGGAGGAGGAGAGAAGGTGGACAGAGGACAAGACACCATGGGGTTAGGTGAATCATGAAAACACGGCCATGAGGGCTGGCCAATTGGAGTTAAGAGCAGGCCAGATGGAACATGGCAAGTTATAACTCGGGGTTATTGATGGGGAAATAGATATGGTAGCATAGAGAGTAGAAATCTGCCCAGCTCTAGTGCATTTATTAAAGGCTTATTATAAACATAAAAGTTGTGTCCACAGGAAATGAATGACCAAAGGTGGGGTAGAAAACCCCCAGATTGAGATTAAACATTTACTACAATGTTGGACTCTAAGATCCAAACCGGGGGAACACGCTCCCACAGAAACACTCACGGACAGGGGATTTGCTGCAGAAACATGAGGTTTATTGATAATAACCAGTGCACTGGGGTTCCCTCGAATGCAGGCAAGAGGAACCCCAAGCCAAAGCTGAGAGCCGTTTTTATATAGAGTTCATGAGGGCAACCACAAAGGCTGACCTCAACAGCTGTTCCAGGTCTGTTCTCTAGGTGACCCAGATTTACACATTATTTTTATGACAATGAGTGTTAGCTAAGTGGCTTCCGTTTTAAGGGCCCAGCTTCCTAATTACTTCTTGTCCTGGGCCCTTCCCCTGGAATGTGTATAAGTCTTTGGAATATGCTCCTCCCAGGATGTGTCCTGGGGCAGTTAATTCTTGAGTTTAAACCGAAACCTAAGATTCTTTCAATTTTAAGTTTAAACTGAGACCTGAAATTCCTACAACAACACAGTCTCTTTTGAAAATCATTCATTGATGCACCCAGAATGTGGGTCAGTGATTGCTTAGGTGCTTCTGCATCTAATCAAGACTGAACAACACAGCCACTGAAAAGGAAGAACTGTAAGTTTATTTTTTTAGTTTGTATTGATTCTTTGTGAGTTTCACGTCATGCGCGCCCGTCACTCTCATCTCTCCATCTCTTCATATCTTCCCTCTGCCCGTGCAACCTCTCCCTGCCAAAAGAAAACAAAAAACAAAAACAGAAGTAAGTGAAACGTAGAAAACATCTTGCGGTGGAAGCTGTAGTGTGCGTCCCACAGTCTACCCTTTGTCCACACATATTTACTTGCAAATGTTCATTGTGATGAATCACTGGTTTGAGGCTTCTGGCTTCTGCTACACCATCACTCCAGGATCCTTATCGAGACTCCTCTCAGATGTCCTGTTGTCGCTCTGTGTCATGGAGATCCTGCAGCTTTGGGTCAGCAAGGTTGGCTCTTTCACATGCTCCAACAGTTCATAGATGAGATAGATTTTGGTGTAGGCCAACTCAAAGCCCTGGATCTAGGCCTGGGTGGGAGCTGAGTCAGCCCACCTGCTTTCCCATACATACACCACCAGGGGGAGCGCTCCAGCATTGACCTGGCTAGCCCATCCAGTGCATCTACCAGCAATCGGCAGGGACTGCTCTACCACTCTCATGCCTTCAGCGGCTGGCTCACCCACACTCACACTGCCACCAGAGCCAGCTCCACTATGCTGCCCAGGAAAGATGCAGGTCCTGCTCTCGTGACTTTATGGCAAGATTGGGGAGGGCATCTCCTCCTGCACCCACTCTTACCTCATAGCAGACAGTGGCAGGGTCAGCTCTCCCGTGCTCATGCCCTCAGGCAGGCTCCATTGTGCTGCCCAGGAGAAAGAAAGGTACAGAGCCTGTTGTCAGGAGTCCTGCTGCAGGTGATGGGCGGGGCCAATTCTGTACAGTCCCTGGTTTTGCACGTGGTCCCAGATGATGCCTAGATCAGGGACATCTGCAAAGTCTATAATGGCAAAATGCGCCATGGACATCCACATCAGCCCCTGCTACCGAATGGCCACAGATCCAGATGTGGCTGTAGGAGACTGGTTCTAATGCTTTGATCTGCGTGTCCAGACGCTAAAGGTCTTTGTCCCTAATTGGTTTTTGATCTGTCAATAAAGATGCCAATGGCCAATGGCTGGACATGGAGCGGGACACTTAGAGTTGCGCGGGTCTTGGGGGAGCAGGGGAAGGTTTAGGAGTGCCCAACCTTTGAGGTAGCTAAGGCATTTTAAAAATAAGCTAATGCATGTGTGTGTTTTCACCTACGGATTCAAAAATAGCTCCTGGGCAGGTGCACATGTGCGATCCGCTGGGAGCACAAAGCAGTGAAGCCAAAGCTACACGTGGCCCTCAGTGGCAGCGTGGGCCAGGACTTCACCATGGCCTCAAGTGGAGGGGCTGGCTACTTACAACAGGCTATTCCTCTCCACCCTCTCGTCTCCAGTTCCACATCTCTTCACAATGCTCAAACTGTTCTGCTTCTATTTCTCTCCCGTCTGCCCACTATACCTTTGCACACTATAGTGGATCCCACACTGGGCAGGCCATGCAGATGGCAGCTCCTCTGGGCTGACATCCTCTGTTTGCCTTGCAGGTGGCAAGCAGGTCTCAAGGTGTCTACAGCCCGCCATATGGTGTCTGTGTCTCTGGACCTCCTTCTTTTCCTGCACTCCATTAGATGGCAACCCCCCTGTATATGCAGCAGCAGCAGCAGCAGCAGTAGGAGGTCTCTGGGTATCTTTCCCTTCCTGGGCTGGGTGGTATGGTATGGGTAGGTCTCTGGATGTTTTCCTCCTCCTGCGCTGTTGTATTGTGTGGCAGAATGCTGGTCTTTGGGTGTCCTCCATCTGTCTATGTGTGGTGGTCCTCTGTGTGTCCTCTGCTTTCCTGCACCACATGGTAGCAGACATGTCTCTGGGCATATTTCCCTGCCTGTGCCACATGTCATAGTAGAGGGCAGGTTTCTTGAGACCATTCTTCCGTGTCATCTAGAACTTTGACAATGTTCTTCAATGTTGTAGTCTTCCAGTGAGGTTCCCTGCAGGCCTCCAGGATCAAGTCTTTGTAGAGACTTTTCTGGGAAGGATTCAGCAAAGTCCACTCTTTCCGAGTCAAGTTTATATGCATATCAGCATAGCTCGCTGCATTTATATTCATGACTTTGGAGCTCGTCTGAGCTCCTCTCCCAGGCCACAGTAACAGTGCTCAGAGTACATCACACTGAACCATTCAAGCCTGCTCAGCTACAGTGCTAAACCTGCAGCACAGCACCAGGAAGAACCCTCCTCCTTCTCCTCCTCCCTACCCATTCCCTCTCTATCCGTGAAACAGGGTTTCTTCGTGTAGCCTTGGCTGTTCTGGAGCTAGCTCTGTGAACCAGGCTGGCCTTACACTATAAAGTTTTGTTTTGTTTTTTTCTAATCAATATAAAAATGTTCATGGTAGTAGTTATGCAAAAATGGATACAAATTAGAATTTAGATGTTCAATTTCAGGTTCGGCATGTAAGGAGCTTGGGGGGTCTGATTTTTATCATCACAAGAAAGAAAACAAAACAAACAGAGAATCAACAACTCTTCTTAGACTCATCAATTCCTCCAGGAATGGAAGACATTTGAATACTAAGTATCATATTTGCTAGAGCAGGAGCCCAGGATGAGAAATCTGCAGCCAGAGCCAACATCTGGGTAGGAGAATTTAAGCTATGTTAATGAACATGTGGGCAATGTGTGGGCAAGGCTGGAAGTTAGAAACCAGGCAAAGAAGCCGTTTGAGGGTCTCCAGTCATGGAAGAAATTTTACCTCTCAGATCTTTGCCAGACTCTCAGGTATAGTTCAGAGAAAAATATCCTTTAG